GGGGTGGCTCTGCCCGAGCCAGGGAGAGCTTGAACTGGTGACTGTGGGAGCTGCTGCTGGGGCAAACTGGTTTCCACTGGGGTTCAGCCCTTCAGCCCTGCCTGGTGTCACCCTGCCAGGCGATGCCCGAGGGCCGGCTCCAGCAGTGTCACATGCTGCCATGGTGCCTGGGCTTTGGGACCTGCATGAAGCCCTGCTTTTACTGAAACCCTTCTGTTTCAGCTCAAAAATGTGCTGCAGTGGGAGGAGAGGCCACTCCAGGGATCTGCACTGGCTCCTGCAGCCCTGACGGTGGCATGGTGAAGCCACCTGGCCGGGCACAGGGAGCGACAGCCGTCCTGGTGCTGCTGATCCCTTGGGATGTGCTGGTGGCACAGACAAGGATGCGTGGCCGTGCTGAAGCGTGGGGAAGGCTCATCCCAGCACCTTGGCAAGGGTCTGGGGGATCTCCAGTGCCACAGGAGGGGTTGGGTCCCTTCAGGGTATCCCTGGCGATGGAGGGATGGGTGGGGATGAAGGCTCATGTCCCCGGCCATGGGAGCAGGGTGCTGGGGGCTGCCATGGCCCAGGGGTGCTGGGACTGAGTGGGTGCGAGGGAGCCGGGCCTTCCTGGAGCTTGGGGTGGTTCTGTGCTCAGGATGTTTTGGCTTTGCCCCTCGTCCTGCCAGCAGGGCGGCGGAGGGACAGAGAGGGCGGGTGCTGTTCCCCAGCAGGTCTCTCCGTGGGGCCCTTGGGGGGAGAAGGGGTCCCAGTGCCAGAGAGACAGCGCTGGTGGGTCACTGTGGGTGTCAGTGTGCATCTCTGAGGGCTGGTGGGTGCTATTGGAGCTCAGCCTGGATCCCGCTGGCACTGGTGTGGTGCCAGCCCCATCCAGCCCAGGGCTGCTGGTCATTGGTCTGTGCCACTGCTGCTGCTGCACAGGGTGGGTGGGTTTTCAGCCAGACCTGGCTCTTGTCTCCTCTCCCGGGGTGAAATGGGAGGTTTCTGGTGTCCCATCACTGTTTCTCCTTCCCCTCCCATTGCGTGTGCGCGGCCCCAGGGAGCTGCTGCTGAAAGGGCTGGTGTGGGGCTGGGAAGAGCTTCGCCCGTGCCCGGGAGGCAGCAGGGTTTGCAAGGGAGCAGCTCCAGGGGTTCTTTAGGTCGTGCCATGCTGCAGGGAGCTCTGACTGCCCCACGTCTCTCCCTGTGCAGTGATGGACAGACAGTCAAAGGATCTCTAGCTACACCAGGAGCCTCCTGTGCCAGAGACCCGTACCCCCAGGAAGAAGCTGGGCTGCCCACACCAAGGCTGATGCTGCTGCCTGCCCTGCATGTGGCCCTGCTCCTGGCTGGGGACAGCCCTGCCTGCACCCACCTGGCTCTGCCCACCCAGAGACACTGCAAGGACTTCGTAGCTCCAGCTTGGCTGCAGCTTCAGGTTGGTTGCTTCTGCCCCCGTTTTGGTTTTTGTTGTTGTTTGTTTGTTTGTTGATTTGGTTTGGTTTGTTTCTGTTCCTGCTTTGTTTCTTGCTTCAACCTGTGGATAACTCCAGTTTGTTTGTGACTTCAGCTCATGCATGGCTCTGGCTAATTTCAGCTTCAGTTTGTTTCAGGTCAAGCTCATGGGTGGTTCCAGCTCATTTGCAGCTTCAGGTCATTTTTTTCTGCCCCCAGTTTGTTTCAGGTCCAACTCATGAACAGCTCCAGTTTGTTCTTGCTTCCAGCATGTTTTAGGCTCCAGTTGGGTTTCATCTTCTACAGCTTCATTTTGGCTCCAGCTTATTTGCAGCTTCAGTTTGGTTCCATCTCTGGTTGGTCTGTGGCTCCAGTTCCAGTTCATTTCTGCTTCAGTTAATTACAGCTTTCCAAATCGTCTTGGCTTTTGACAGGGTTGTAGATTGATCACTGACATAACTTGCATATGAACTGTCATAATTGTACATTGGTTAAATATGGACTAATGAGTTAATGACTATTCCAGCTGTTGTACACACCTTGAATAAAGAGTTGGACACAAAAAAATGGTGTAAAAAATGCCTCCCCTCCCCGAGACTATTTCAGACATTGAGTTTGGCCTGGTGCATGCTGGCCTTCCAAGCTTCAGGGACCAGTGGAACCAGACCCCCAACCTCTGATGGGGTTCCACACAGGTGCCCCCACCCCAGTCCCCACCTCACTTTTCCCCAGCCCCTGAGCTGCTCCTGTCTGTCGCCCTCATCCTATTCCTGCCCAGCCTCGCCTCACCCAGGATGGCTTCTACTGTAGGTGAGCATGACTGCAGCCCATGTCCTCCAGTCCTCTCTCATCTCCCTGGGCAACCCCCACCTGCACCCCACTGCCAGGGCATGGTGGGGCATCGCCCAGACCCTCTCCTCCTCCTGCAGCAGGATGCACTATGGGCCATGCTGGGCACAGGGGTCTCATGCCAGAGCTGCAGGAACAATGTCCATGTTGTTTGCATCGGTGCGGAGAGAGATCAGAGAGGAACCACCATCTCAGCTCCTTGGGTGCTCCAGGCATGGGACCCACAGCCCAAATCCTCCCCACCTCCAGAGTCTCTCCCCCCTGAACCTTTTTGAGCACCTTTCCCAGCACTAACCACCCACTGGGCCAGGGCCACGGAGACCCATTGCCCTGAAATCAGCTCTAGGATGCTGAAGCACAGGCTGAAGGCATCAGCTGGGACATTCCCTGGGGATAGGCTAGAAATCCTGCAATGCCCCTGACACTAGCAGAGAGCACAGCTGGAAAAAAGGGGGAAGCCACAGGCACAGGAGTGGGCAGCAAGCTGGAGGGGCCTGGTAAATTGTGACACAAATACCAAAGCCCCAGGCTTTGGGCCTTGGCACCCCAGGTCTGTGGCATGGGCCTGGCACAAAGACGGCTTCTTGGGCAGCTCCAGGCCAGTCTCTGCCCGTTGCTGGGGCTTCCTTGTGAAAAAAAGCGATGGAGAGAGCAACTCCATCAGGTAAGAGGCCAGGTGGGTGCTTGGGAAGACACTCCTGAGGCCGCAGGGTGACAAAGGTAGGTGCAAGGGGCTGGGTGAGGATGAGGAAGGTGTGGGAACAAGTGTGTGCCTGGGAGAAGGGAGGGCCCCTGAGGCCAGCCCCCACAGAGGGCTGCCAATGACATGGGGACACACATGGGGGACACCCAGTACTGCGTGAAGAGGTGTGATGCTTTCATCTTCCCAAGCACTTCAAACAGGAATGAGAGCAGACCTGCTTTCATACCCATTTTTCCAAAACTTGGCTAAAATCCCATGGCATCGTTATGCTTCCTGGGCAGTGGAGTCAAACCTAACAGCAAGCAGGGCTGTGCACTGAGCACCAAACCCAGGCAAACAAGGGGTGTCACACATGGGCTAACAGAGGTGGGAGATGAAAGGGTGTGTAACATAATTTATTTGCAAGAGAAAACTGATATCCAGCTCTCTGTTCCTCCAGAACAGCTTCTGCCTCACCCCTGTCATCTAACACAGCCCCCTCCACCCCATTACCTGCCTCTCACCACATTTTCTCTTTCCCAATAGTCCCTTTTTTTCCCCTAGAGTCCTCTGGGGGATGACACAGACTCAGAGCCTTGCCTTCTGGGTGCCTTGTCTTCATGCAAATAATTTGTTCCCCTTAGTAGTCCATGCAATTTAATAACTGCATGTAGATTTAAAAGCATATTATAATTATAGGAAAGAACTAGAAGTCCTTCCTTCTCCTCCTTCACATGATTTGTGTTTTATCTTGCATTTCTGCAATGCCCAAGCAATGCATTAACAACAGATCATTTCTGAAATCAGAGAGGTTTGGGACAGAATCAGACTCCTCAGGGTGCACTTCTGCCTCCAGGGCAGTCCCCACTGAAGAGCTGGGACATCCCCAGGTCCCACCAGCATACCCCTTAGGCTTTCCAGGGCTGAGAGCCTCGGAGCTGCTCCTGGCCCAACGCTTCTCATTTGCTCTGTGGCTTTCAGTGGCAAAACTACGTCAGTGCAGAACTGGGGGCTTAGAAGAGTGAATAACTACTGGGAAAATGTAAATGGCAGCTTTGTGTGCCTAGTGCTACTCATAGTAGCTTCCTGCTTGTAAGAACAATCTTTCCCCTAGCAAAGCCACCCAGTGCAATTAGCAAATATAAATATTGCAGTTTGCATTTAAAAAAAAGCCCCAAAGCTCATTGCCCAAAGTTGTTCAAAACCTGCAAACAGACCAAATTAGGTGTCATGATTAGAAAAACTCCTTTCTTGCAGTTGGATGGCTTTGGTTGGGTAGCTGACCTGTATGTTAACTTACAGACACCCTCACCCTTTTCACGACGCTGTCTTTTCATTGGTAATTCCTCAATTAATTTTTATACAGGAAGATGATTCTCATATCTAGATCAAGAAGTATTTGTACTTAATTCTAGCAGGGAAGAAACCTTTTTCTTGAAAGCAGAGCCATGTGGCCTCAAACTGTGTTCAGTAGCCACTGCTATATCAAATTATTTTTCCTTATTGCCATCCCCATCCATTTGTGCCTGCTGTAAGATAACCACTGCCCCCTCCAGCAAAAACAGGGACCTATAGGGCAAGTCAGTTCAGCTGTAGGTAATTTCAAAGCAGTTCATATTGTGGTGACTTCATTGGTTTTGTTCCTTCAGGTGTTATATGCAGAATCTATTTCTGCTAAATAAGACACAAACAAGTCTAGTTCCGTCTTCCGAGGACCAAGCTTACACAGTCATATTTTCCTTCTGTTATGACCAAACCAGGAGTTTTCCTTCCTTCTGAAACAGAGAACGGTAGGCTGAAGCAAAATTAAACAGAGAGATGAATGAATCACTCCCCTATTTAGAACAGGATGAGGATTTAAAAAAAAGAAAATAAAAATAACAACACAAAAACCACACCAACAACAAAACAAATAAATCACCAACCAAAAAAAAGACTATAAAAATCCCAAAGCTC